TGATGTCTCAGACAAAGGTTGATGAACAGGTAAAATTGGTCTAATCTTGTGTATAACCTTTTTTTCTTGATCCAATTGCTGAAGCTCACGAAAAGGAGATGCAACTGAATCTGACTTAGGTTTGGCTCGTTGGCTGAGGTCTTTGTTGTATTGCGTTACATACTAAATAGAATGAGAAATTTTAAGATGAATAGTTAAGAAGATATCTCTGTCTATTTCAGGTTATTAACTTCAATATTATTGCCAGATTATTATTATTATTCTTAGGAGAATTACTTCCTATGATGACATGACTGAATTAGCCTGAATTTCAAACACTTATTTCACATGCAAAAAAGTTTCTGAAGTTGGACAAGACATTACAAAAGCAGCTTTTCAACTCACAATTGCACCAATAATGTTTACCGAAGCTTGAAGAATTGCTTCTGGATAAAACTACTTCCTCCCCTGTAGCTTTAACAGCAAATTCTACTTCATTCATATTCAAAACCACCAGATAACATAATTTGATTTACAACCGATCAATTCACCTTTAAACAAAGAGGTACACACATGCCTATAACAACTCCAGTCTGCAAATATAAGCACTAAAATTTTTGCATCTTTAAGATATGGGAAAAAAAAAAAAATCTGAAAAATGCCAGAAACAATCTATCTCCTACTACATAAAACCATCTCCCACATTAGGCTGTTACTATTCATGCCAAACTTTATGCTAATTAACTAGACAATTTTCAACAGGAGCTCAAACGAACATATATTGAATAGAAAGTTAGGAGATAGTTGCTTCTTCTCTTTTAGAACTCTTACAGAATAAAACACAGAATAATAAAAAGAGCATTTAGCTTCTCCTAGCTCCCTTTATTTTTTTCAAAAAATATTCTATATGTTTCAAGAACAAGGGACAGGCATAAAAAGACTGAGCTTTCAACTAATTATGGTTTAAAGTACACAATAATTATAATGAAGAAGAGGGATATGAAATTCTGAATGGGTGATGTGAGCACAGATCAAATCAATAGCAAAAAAACCCCACTAATTTGAGAAGTGCTGGGGATCCCCCAGAAGCATGTAAGAGACCCCCATCTCTTGCTTCCTACAGGACTGAAGCTCAAAAAATACTAACTGATGTATACACTCCTTGAGGTCAAAGCAGTCATTAGCTATAAGACTTAGTTTTAACCATATTTCATAGATATAGCTCCAAAGTACAACGAACAGGACACAACTCAGGGAAGAGCAAAATATGTCTTTTACTACCATCCTCTTACATGCGATACAACTGTTCAAAGAAGAAGATACAATCTCAAGGGTTTGAACGATAGTTACAGCTCTTTCAATATCTAAAGCTAACAGCACACTATAGAACATAACCCATTAAGTTACAGAGCTCAGGAGTTTTGATTCTAATTAACCGATTAACTCTTCAGTCAGAACACACTACCTCCACAGGTGAGTTCTATCTACCATGTGTACAACTGCTAGCCAAGATCTGACTTTCTCATTAGCACTTTTTATAAAGAATAACTTTAGAAATCATTTCATTTCATGTTTCTCAAGAGGAGATGAGCATCCTCCTTCAAAGGCATGGCAAACTCCCTGTCAAGTGGAGGACACACTGCACCACAAGGCACCGTCCTTGCTACAGCAGGTTTCCTCCAACCTAAAATGTTTCAGATGCCAAGTGCTTAACTTAATCCTGATGCAGTCCAGAAAAGGAGATGCTTGGAATTGCTTGAGCTTGGCTGATAAGAAAAATATTATTTTTATCGACTAAACTCCATTTTGACCCATCACATGGGACAAATAAATTAAAGAATGAGAAACATGGGATAAATACGCTCCTTGACTTACCATTCGTTTGAGAAAGTTAAAGTACTGAAATGTAATCAATCTATCGTTGGCTACACGGCACAGATGCACAAACTGGCATGGTATCTGCCGTATTCCAGTGTTCTTCAGATGCCAGACAAATAATCCTACTTAAAGTAAAAAAAAAAA